TACAAAAATACAAAAATATTAAATAGTTTCTCAACGCCAATATTTGAAAAGTTTATATGAACATTGTACTGACCTTTTAATTTCGCCGGCAGTAAACTATAACTTAAATATGGGCACGGACTCTACTGTAAAGTTCTCATAAAACACTTCCTTTACTTTTACTGTGAAGAACTGTCAATTTTCAAGATACATTTCGATTTATAACCTTTATAATTGTGTTTATAAAATGTAAAAATGTGACATTTGACAGTTTCCCCTGTTGTTTCATAGATGGCGTTCTATACAAATTTTTGATTTAAATCATTTTAAGATAATAAGTATTTGTCGTAGAAAAAGTATAGTATGCACCTCGTTTATAAACTTTTCTATACACTCATTAACTTAAGCACTCGCTCGCAAGCTCGCTCGTGCCTAAATTAAATTCGTGTATAAAATGGCGTTTATCAAAATTGATACATAATATCGAGGGGTCACCCACACCTGGGAATCCCTGGACATTTTAGAGGGGGAATACCATAGGAATACAATGGAAATACATAGGAATACAATAAAATATAATGGTAATACATGGGAATCCTTGGACGTTTTCCCTTTGGGTGGTTGACCCCTCGCATAATATACTATTATTAAAATATATGATAATATTTGCACGTATATAAGCTAAATATATGTTGTATACAATAACACGGATTATGCATAATACCATGATAAATATTGTCAATTTTATAACCACTTGTATAATAATAAAATGAACAGTTGGCCTTCAATATCTAGGGACACACACGATCCAACGCCGCACTTCAATTAAATCCCTAAACCAAACCAATAGATCTTAAAGAGTATATAGTTTGAAGCCCAATGAAGCGCCCTCTTTAAACTTGGTTAAAAATTAAATTACGTGTTTACAGGCAACTCTTGCCAACATAGTTTTTAATTGGTGGAAAATCAACGTATTTGATTGGTTACTTCAATGGCGCTATATTTAAAATCTAACTTGTGACTACATTTTAAATGTAATTAGTAACGAAAACAATAACTTTGTTTTCTACCATGTATAGGTACTTCTGTGGTTTTGCTGTTTAGTAACTCTCAAGCAACTTTTATAAAGTAAAGAAATTTGCAATTTATAGAAAAGCAATTAGGAAAACAAATGTATGTAAATGTAAAACAAGTGTATTTAGTATTCATTTGTAAAATCTGTGATTTTTTAATTTGTAAAACTCGTTGAATCATTATCATACTTATTCCCAAAAGTACCATTCATATATGGTAAGAAACATTGTTTTTGTATTTATGATAGTCTACCAAAAGTAACTGTCTCATTGATCATTATTTTGAAATTGAAGAATACTGTTAAATCCATAAATTTTATTAAACAATACAAGCCTACCATCTGAAAGATTATGATTCGGTCAAAGTGTTTATAAATTATTATTATAATACAAACCTTAGACAAAACACAAAAAAAACACACAAATACGCAAAATCTTACAAAAATTCGATAACTATATCCGTATACGGATATAATTGAAAGTCAAAAAGGTCAAAAACGTCAAAACGTCAAAAAATTATAAAAACCGCGCCCTCTCTTGGCTTGGATAAATATTATAATACTGTCCCGACATCCGATAAAGATATTTATCTATTGGTTTGGTCTAGGATTAAATCGTACGATTTGATTGAAATTTGGAAAGGAACACACACGTAACGATTTCGGAGTACGGGGACCCCACACACGATCCAACTAAATCGAACCGACTTGGTCGTACTGCACCAAATAAATCGGACCGACGACGCGTCGCGACGCCCATACACAATCAAATTGCTTTCAATTTTGTCGTATTGTACAGCGGCGTTGGATCGTGGGTGGGGTCCCTTACATATGGTAAATATCTGTTTCTGGTACTACAATAGTTGAATTTTCTGCAACAAATTGTTGCATTTTGAAAAAGCGAACAGACCCTTTTTACGGAGTAAATTGTAACTTGTAAATTATTTTGTTTGCTTGCAAACCCTTTAAAATGCTTGCTCTTTTGAGTGCTTGCAAGCACTGTGCTCAAAGCACTATCGTGCTTGAAGCACTTTTTCAAGCACTTTCAAGTCAATTACTGCCCAGTTCTGCAAGATAGTACAATTTAGTTGTCATAAATCATGATAACCAAAAAACAATTAATGCAATATTTTTATAGTTTTTTTTCAGGGTTTGATAACGCGTTTCTGTTACGATAAAAAATGTAGGTGGTGTTTAATTGAAATAAAACTATTTACGAAACTACTAGTAGCTGTTCACTGAACAGTGTTCAGCCATTCCACGCAACTGGGAATTTTTTTAGCGTCCGTTACAATCAAAAATTGTGATTAAAAGCTACCGTAATTAAATTAAATACTGTTACAATAGTTAATATTGCAAACATGTTTATTGTGCTTGTAATAATTAGGCTTAAACTTATAAGCATAACTACGGTAGTTTCACTCACAATTTTTGATTGTAACGGACGCTACAAAAATTCCCGAGTAGCGTGGAATGGCTGTGTTATAACCTATAGGTATTGAATATACCTAACGGAAACGTTTGGTATAGAAACAAGACTATAGTGCGGGCATCCCAGATCTCACGATTATTTCAAATTACACTTTTTACATCACCGCGGTGCACCGTTTATAAAATAACTTCTTAATTACAGCAAATCGACTAAAAATTGATCAAACTTGTTAAAAAAATAAACTTGAATTTCTAGAAATCATTCACCATTAAGAATTTCGCCATCTAGAGCTATACTAGTAGTGCACTACTTTCTAACTGGTGTTTTCTCATGAGTACACACCAGTTAGAAATAAGTCCATAGAAATATCATACAAAGCCTTTTAATTCAAGTTACAGGAATCTGCATTTTTGACAGTTAAAAAATTTGCATTTTATTTTTTTACTACCTAGGTACGGAAAAAATATGCAAATACTAAAAATTTAATAATGGTTAATTTTTGTTTTTTTTAAGGAATGTTTTTTGGTGTGACTAGGTACCTGCTATCTGCTAAGATTTATTTTTTATTTATTAGAAAGTAGTCAAATGTTTTGTTGTTGTTTTTAAATTTTATTTTAAGGAATGTTTTTATTTTCCCAATTAAATAAATTTTAAAAAATTATTAACGTTGATTTTTTCGTATATAATACCACTAGTGGTAAAATTTTACCGATAAAATGTTTGATTTTTATACGAATGTTTTTTTCTTGGAAATTTCGCAAGTGGCATTAATTTTTAAGACCACGAGCCGCTAGGCGAGTGGTTTGAAGTTAATGCCACGAGCGAAATTTCCAAGGAAAAATCTTGAGTAAATAAAAATCAAAAATTTTTTCAGGGAAAATTTTATCACGAGTGGTATTCGGCAAGACTATTTCACGAATATTTTTAACTGCTGATTCAATTTCTGTATGATTTTTTGGACCAAAACGCATATTTTTTAACATTTTAATTTTAACCAATTGGTTGCTATGCAACTTGTATTATACGTAATAAACGAGTGGTTTTTTCACCTGAATAGTAGTTTTATCGACTATAATTACACAAGAGCTTATTTTTAGCCGGATAAATTTTTGTTTTCCTTAAAAGCTTGTTACCTAGCAATTTGACAAGAAAAAATGTCATCAATCAAAATTACGAGACCGTAGGTCGAGCGATTTTGTCAGATGACATTTTTTCGAGTCAAATTGCTAAAAGGTAACAAGTTTGAAAGTTAGAAAACATAAATTTATCCTGCCAGAAAAAAAGCTCGAGTGTAATTCGACGAGATAATTTTGTGATTAATTTTTTTCATATTGCATGCCCAATCAAGCAAAATATTTGCTAAATCTTGCTGTGATATTGAGTCGAGTAGTTTGTAATTCCTCGCATTACAAAATGCCATATATTGTCGCCAAATTGACGCTTTATTATTAAAGAATTATTTGGGATACTTTTTACAATTTGTTCTTTATTGTTTTTCGCCGGAAACGACACCAAAACGATTCATTTTAAAAGATTTTTTGACACCTGCTATTAAAAAATAATTATTTGCAAGGTTGTCAAGGAAATGAAATGACACGAGGTAAATAAATAATTATCCACTTGCAAAAGTTACCTTCCTTTTTATCCGTTATTAAAGTGACTTAAATGCCATTCAACTACGACGTTTTCATGTAAGAAACAAATTATCGCTGCAAAACTGAAAAAACCACTCGTTTTCTGAAATCTGATTGGTCCAAAAAGTAATGAGTGGAATAGTCATATAAAAACCTTCCAACCCAAAAATTCAGCGCTTATTTAAATTATAGAATAAAATCGTGAGATCTCGTATTTCGTCGGTTTTATTAATTTATTATTATAATAGCCTGCCATCTGGGATATAGTATAGTCCCATTTGATAAACAAATCGGGAACAGAGCGGTCAGGTATAGAAACGACACAAGTATCAAAACAAGTAACGAAATAGTATCTAAATTAAAGTATAGGAACGAAACTAGAAACGAAACCTTCATAAGAAGCGTAAACGAAACTATAGCTAAACAAAATTAGAAATAAAACTTGAGATATGGAATGGTAACGAAACTTTAATCCCGATATATTTAATAAAAAAGGGGTTGACATATTTTTACTTGTTAAATATGAAAAATTTTCAAAAATATCTATATATAATATATAATATACAACTGTTTTAAGCTGGGGCAAAATCGCTGATGTGAGGGTTTAAACTTTCGCAAAGAAGTTTCACTACAAAAATCCAGTTTCCTTACCATTTTTTTACCCACGTATCATTACTAGGCTCATTTCAATACATAGCGTTTCGTTCCGCAATAATAACCAGTTTTGATACTTTTCGTTTCCATCCCTATACCGTTTCGGTATCGTTGCGTTACTCGCAACGGTACTGAATTTCGTTTTCATACCATACGTTTTTATATTTATTTGTTTCTATGCTAGGTTTTGGTAGCAAACCCTACTATTTTTTAAATTAAGTATATTTACCCCACTATAACTTCTAGGCCATTAACGGTGGCAACTTTGGCATGATAAGTGGTCTCTAAAGTTTTAACTTCATTCATAGCTTTAAGCGGACTACAATTTCCATTCAATAAAGTCGCTGTTAGCCCCAATACTCTAGGTGGACTTGTCAACCCTTGAAAATTCATCATGATTTGCCTCATTGGTTGATTTGACACCCCATGATGGCATTCATCAAAAATTAGCAAATTAATTTTGTTCAAATCTGTTTAAAAAAGATATGATTAATTTAATCTTATAAAATTTAATTTAATTGTAAAGTTAGTACTTACCAATATAATTACTTTCAATTAGATTCTTTAGAATTTGTGAAGTCATTATAATAACATTAAATTTATTATATTCTTCATACCACTTTTCTCTAGGCCAAAAATCTAAATTAAATTCACCAGAATATCTTCCTACTTTAAAATAGGTATGATTTTCAAAATATTTAGCATGCTGATCCACCAAAGCTACAGTATTTACTAATATTACACTTAATTTACCCCCTTCGCTGTAGCTTCTAAAAAATGAGAACATTTCACAATATAACATAATAAAATGAAGAAAACCTACTTTGCCAATGGTTCACTTAATTGCTTTAATGTCATTAAAGCAATAAAAGTCTTTCCTGACCCAGTCGGTAAATAAATAATGGTATTTTGCTGAAGTGCAATTTCCATCAATTGAATTTGATAATTCCTAGGAATGAAGTCGTCCATCTTGTTTTGTTTAGTTTTGTAATATTACCAAAGACTTTTATATAAATAATTTATTTATTGGTAAAAACTAAATTTAATTGTCCATGTTAACAATGTGATCTAAAAAAGTTTTCTTATTTATCTATATATAGTATAAGATCCCAGAGCCCCCAGACCCCACTTTCAAGCTATCAATTACGCATACGTTTTTAATTACATATTAAGACATTTCTTAAAAAAATCTTAGCAGTATTAAAATGACGTAGGTCTGGGGGCTCTGGGATCTTACTCAATACTTTTATGTCTCCTCCACTAATCTAATGCAAACCTATGGATTTGGACCAATAAACAAGAAGGGGTTTTAACACGGTTTGGGGGAAAGTACCCATATTGATTTTATAAATACTTATGTTTAGACTGAGTCAAGCCCGTGCGCAAGGGTTTGGGGTTCAAACTCCCCAAAAAGAGTAAAGCTTTACAATTATCACTTGAAATTAAAGAAAGAATTAACGATAAACGACGTAATAAAAAAGTTGTAAAAAATCCAAACTCCAAACAAGAAAAAATCTTGGAAAAAATGAATGAATTAATAAAAGAAAATGCAAGTTTTAAAAATGAAACCGTCAAACTCGCCTTTGGCTCGTGTGACAAACTTTTCACTATGCCGTATTCTAAACTAGGGTTTTAAAATTTCCGGAAAAATTGAGCCGGCGGAAATATACGGGCTTTTTCCGGAAAAAACTGAAAAATTGGGAAATTTACAGAAAAATTGACTTTGGCATTTTATTCAAAGGGTAATACGAACAAAATGAAAAATAAATTAACAAATTTTTAAGAATACTATCCGTACACTGATACAGGGTTGGCAAATATCATGATATTTATATAAATATCAAAATATCAGATATATATCCGATATATATCATGTTTTGATATTTATTTTTTTAAATAATTTCTAAGAATATTTATAGTAGGGTACTATTAAAAGCCAAATAAAATTTATTATATTATAACAAGAAAACCAACACGTTTATAACAACTTTATTATTGCTAAATTATCGTCGGATTCGTCAGAATCGAAACCGAGCCCTAAACAAATTCGGGGAATCATAAATGTAAATAAAGTACATATTTTTTTTGGAGTATTCTGCCACTGTAAATATGAAGCGGCAATGCCATTATTATAAATAATTCCTAATTATTGGATATGTATATAAAATTTTGGTTTTAACAAATATGTCGCTTTGTAACAATGAACACGTAGTAGGCAGCGCATGAAGCTTATAAGCTTCATGCGCAGTATACTGTACGCTTCATATTTACGGTGGCAGTATACTATACAAAATCTACACTCTACACCTTTTCCAGTTGATATTCAGAAAGTAGGAATTGTAATTCAGTTATTCCAGTTGATATTCAGATAGTAGGAATTGTAATTCAGCTATTCCAAATGATTTTAAGAGAGTAGCATATGTAATTCAGATAACACAATTGATTTTAAGAAAGTAGCACTTGTAATTCAGATAACACAATTGATTTTCAGAAACTTGCAATTGTTATTCAGAAAGTAGCAAATGTTTTTCAGATTAAATCAAATGTAATTCAGCCGCAGCAATTGTTTCAGGAACAGTGGGTTGCATACAGTAAATCGATGATGAATGAAAGTACACGTTATCTTTATTAACTAAGTAAATTAAATTTATATAAAGTACAAATGAACAAAATTCGGTCCTAACTTGCAATAAGTTGACAATTATGACAAATATACCTACTTAAATGGTGATAAATTTGTTTATAATTGTCAATTCCATGGAAACAAAGCAATATACAAAGAATTGAGATTTTAAATAAAATAAGTAAAATGAAGTATGAAAATGTTATCATTTGTTAATTTCTGAATTTCAATTGACATATTCTGAATTACAATTGTTACTGTCTGAATACTATTTGTAATTTCTGAATATCAATTGCTCTTGTCTGAATATCATTTGCAATATCTGAATTACATCAGCTACTTTCTGAATATCATTTGAAATATCTTAATTACATTTGCTATTTTCTGAATTTCATTTGCAATATCTGAAAATCAATTGCTGCTTTCTGAATATCAATTGCTACTTTCTGAATATCAACTGGAAAAGGTGTAGTAATAAATACCTTGTTCCACGGATCGGCATGCGGCTTGCTACCTCTGCTAACAATTTTAGCCTGTTTAAAGTAAGAGAATACCCTTTTTTTTATTTTTTTTTATAAATATCATGATATATATCAGGATGTAAATATCATGATATATATCGGATATGTATCATGCCAACCCTGCACTGATATCGAGAAAAAAGTGAATTATGATTATAATAATTATTTCTTTTATTTTAATTCAGTAAGAATATTCTTCCGTGTCGCAAAAATACATATTCGGTGCTGTAATACATAATAACATAACTTTCGTTTTATTTGACACTTTGATTTATAAAATTATAATTTTGTAATTTAACTTTATAAATCATTTATTATTTTGTAATTGGATGTTTTCAACGGACTCCTTTTTGCAAAAAAGACCCAACCGACAATTAACGTTTACGTTTAATTTTTTTAAATTAATTTAATTCAATTAAATGTTTAGTTTTATTTTATAAATTTAAAATAATTTAAAGTTGTAAATTGCCACTTTTTTAAATGTGTATATTTCCAAAAAAATACAAAATTAAATATTTTCAAAAAAAAACAATTTTTACAAACCCTGGGAAAAACGGGAAAAAAAAATTTTCCCCAATTTTTCCGGTTTTTTTTTTCGACACTTTAATAGTATATTCTGTAACAAGTTTGGAATACAGCATATTCCGCTCGAGTGAAGAGTTTGTCACACGAGCCGAAGGCGAGTTTGACGGTTTCACGAGAGCGGAATATGCAATTCCAAACGTGTTTCAGACTATACTTTTTTTACGTTTCCCAAAAATACCATAGAAAAATAATTTAATTGGAAGAAAGTGAGGTTGGATCGGTCTAAAATTTGTTAGATATTAAAAACAGAGATGTCGCCACGAGTGTTTATTCTCATCAGATGATAGAATATTTCATTCTGTAACACTTTACGGAATATATGTCATTCCATAGATAAAAGTGATATTAGAAGGGTCAAATTCCGTAATAGGAGTAGAAAAAACCCTATTCCAAACTTGTTACAGAATATACTATTAAAGACTTCAAAAAACTAAGACAACAAATTAAGAACCTAATCAAGCACAACAAAAATAAGCATTTCAGCAAAAAAAAATTACACTAAATTTCAGACCAGAGCAATCACTGTACTTACATAACACAAAGGAAAAAGAAATTCTATTTGTAAAAACCCATCTAATGATGAAATAAAAACTACAATTGTTAAAAAACCAAAGAATGTCCTTTTAAAAATTATAAAGAAAAACCTCAAAGGAGGCTACTTTTCGGGCATACTTAAAATAGTTAAGGTAACTATAGACCAATATGTATCCTGTCTGTTTTTTCAAAAATATTTAAAATAGTTCTTCACAAAAGGCTTCTTGACTTTCTGCTCAAGATAAATTTTATAAGTTCTAAGCAAAATGGTTTTCAACAAAAGAAGAGCATCCAAACAGCTATTGCTAACCTCACAGAGTATATATATCAAAATGTTGGGGATAAAAATACTGTATTATCCATGTTCCTGGACCTATGCAAAGCCTTCAGTGTAGTGAACCATGAAATCCTAGAAAGAAGTTACAAAATGTTTACCAGTTACCTAACAAATCGTGCGCAATATAGGTACCTATATTGGTGATAAAAAAAGTAGACACGGAGTGCGGCAGGGCTCTGTACTCGGACCCCTCCTTTTCCTAATTTTTATAAACGATTTAACAAAATGTGATATTAAAGGAAACATGGTGTTATTTGCAGATGACACAGGTCTTTTTTACGCAGGCAATGAAAAAGATATATTTAAACAAGCACAGAAGGATCTGGTGCTTATCGGCTCATGGACGAAAATGAACAATATCAAGCTAAATGAAAACAAGTGCAACTATCTAGTAATTAAAAATAAAATAAACTGTGATATTTATACTCTAAAACTTAACAACAAAACACTTAAACAAGTAAATAGTGCAAAATACTTAGGTTTGACATTAGATTACTTCTTAAACTTAAGTGATCATATTAAAACTATAAAACAAAAAATAAATACTGTTACTCTCTCCAAAGAACCTCGTCTTTAATAAACACAAAACAAAATATGCTATATACAACGCTTTCATAAACTAACATCTAATGTACTTACCTGCTTTTTCGGGTCATGCAAGAAAGAGAGACCTGGATGATTTACAAGTGAAACAAAATAAAGCCTTAAAAATTGTGTTGCGTATAGGACAAATACCAAAGATCTCTACAGCAATCTTAAAATTTAATTCATACAAGCATAGATCTACGCCAAAACTGTGAAATAAATCAAATATATCAGAACAATACCAGAAAAAATCAACAATACTACCCTGCTTAAAATACCCCATAGATACTCATAAAAATAATCTATCGGGCGCTAACGGACTCAATATGTGCTTTTGTCCAAGGTTTTTCCGGATAAAATTTATAGGAAATTATCTATAGGCACACCATAACTTTTACATTTTCCCTATTGAGACCGATAGCAAATACCTCAAGGAAAGATATATAGGGATATCCATATAGAGCAACCATAAAACATTTTGTTAAAACCTATGGGGTCCTATGGGAGAAAAACTAATTTCTACATTTATGTGTATTTTCCCTATTGTGACCGATAGCTAAATAAATTAAGGAAGGATATCCCTATAGAACAACCATAAATCCCAACTGTATAGTTATATATGGGTCCTAAACATACCGATACACCCTATAGAAACACCATACAATCCGATACAAAAATCTATCATTGTGCACAGGGTCTCTATGCGACATTTTAACCAGGGTACGTATTGCCAGATACCACCAACGCAGGTAGAAAAAAAATTACACGACAAGCAACAAGATGG